CCTAACTGCTTCTCTGGGGTCCTCACTTCTTTCTAGAGAGGTCTCCATGCCACCTAAGAATATTAATATCAAATGAAATGGGTATGCCTTTTCTCCTGCTAATCTGCCTTTTGTCAGTTTCATTTACAGGGTCCCAGACATAGAACCTAAGAAGGTAGGGTAAGTGTTTTTCCTTCCCCTAATAGGCCTCTAAAGGATGAACATTGTTATGAACGTGTGTTATGTGTTACGAACAATGTGTTATGAACAACGTTATGTACGTGTGCACACATGTATATCTGTGTGTTTTCATGCCCTTCACAATCTTCAACAATTTACACAAACTTTTACACTCTTTTTGTAATCAGACCCAATAATCAAATGTTGGAGTGATCTGAGAATGTTTTTCTGGAACTCTGGAAATGTGCTTTACTTATATGGTGTGTTTCTGCAGTCTTATTTTATACAATTATGTACTATTTTTTAAAAAACCCTCTTGATCTATTGTATGCTTAGATATTTTGGAAACCTCAGCATTTTTTTATAGATTGTCAAGAATATTGGTCCTATCTTCCACTTCTCTGTGATCTCGCTATATACCAAGGGGGATGAGAGCTTGAACAAGCATTTGAATTTTTTTCTCTCCATCAGAGCTTAGGGGGTGTCTATTTGAGGTAATTTTGGTGGGTAGCTGGCTTTTGTAACTTCTGCTAGGTTAAGGGTAAAGGTTATACAAGGTTTCCAGCTAGAAGGTCAGGAGAATGTCCATAAATATTTTCACGTTGGCGTGTACAGAATTAGACTGACTCAGAGAATATGATTCATCCCTTGGTCCAACCCTTTTTCGCCCTTCCTCTTCCCTGCCTTGTCCTAGCCATCACCCCGTTCTTGAATTAGAGTTTAATAAGCAACTTTGTCTTCCTTGTAGCCTACAGATACACACCCACATCTCCTCCTTGACAGGGGTAACTATGCCATCTTCTGCTTTTGAATCTTTGTGGAATGTCACACGTGAGGTAGACCAGTATTTTAACACAGAATTTGGTGGACGTGTGTGGCATTTTAGAGTACACAGCCCCTACCAGCAATGCCCACATTTATAGTCTGAGCGGTATATACCGCGTGTCTAAGGAGCAAACGCTTCTTTCTGAAAAGTTATTAAAAATAATTCTTTTCACTTTTTAAGGAGCAAGCATACATTTAGAAGTAAATTGCAAAGGGGGAGGAGGGATAGATTAGGAGCTTGAGATTAACATATACACACTACTATATGTAAAATAAATAAGCAACAAGGACCTACGGTAGAGCACAGGCAACTACATTCAATATCTTGTAATAACGTAGAATTGAAAAAAGAATATATCTACATATAGATACAGATGTATACATCTGACTCACTTTGCTGTACGGCTGAAACTAACACAACATTGTAAATCAACTATACTTCAATAAAAAAAATTAAAATGAAAAAAATGTGAAAATGAAAGCAAATGGCATGTGTGGGTATAGAGTTTCATGTTTGCAAGAGGACACGTGTATGGATTGGGCGTTAACAGTACAATACTGAACAGTACATATAAAAATGGTTCAGAGGGTACATTGTATGTTGTGTGTGTTTTACCACAATTTAAAAAATGGGCAACCCTGAAAAAACACGACACATTGTAACCAAACTAAACTAAACTAAAAATGTCCTCCCTCTGGCTCCCCCCACACAAGATAATAGCAGATATATGTTGCTGCGTGCATTTTGCTCTCAATGCCCCTTGGAAGATCGCCCACCAAATGCTTTAAATCCCCCTTTTCTCGTTCAGTGAGAGACAGAGAAAACAATCCCATGCTTCTATCAGAGCCAAGGAGACGGTGGTCAACGCAGGTGTGTGTCACGGGTCAGAACCAGCAGAGACACCTGGATCTCACTTACCTGAGCACATAGATGTTCCATTTGAGAGACTCCAATGAAAAGCCAATTTTGAAAACCACATTCATTTCTTTTAGCCTAGCAGTTGAAATCAGAACCTCCTTTCCGATAAGATAAGACAGCTTTAAAATACGTGCCCCCCAGGCAAACGATCACTGTTAATATGATACTCACGCCTGCGTCAGCCAACATGGGCAGAGTGCTCGTAATACTAAAGGCAGTGTAGGCGTGTGATGCTTACCTGTTCTCTTTAAGTCTTACAGTCAACGGTGAGGTAGGGGTTCTCGCTACCTCTCTTTTTTGGTTCTGAGACTGTTCTAAGTAGCCCCGAGTCACCCAGTCAGGAAATGTGCCGTCAGAATTCCAACGCAAGGAGCTCGTGTTCCATCCCAGGGTCTGTAACAACTCCAGCAACATCCTGGCCTTCACGTCTCCAGGTGGAAAAACAGTCCTTTGGTGGCGTTTTCCCAGGATGCATAATCATACCCTTCTTCCTCATAGATTAGGTGACTTCACATATGTGAAACCTGGAATTAAGTGTTTTAAGCCCATGTTGCGTGTTTCTGTCTTTACGATGTTAGGTTTCAATCGGTGCAACAAGTATGCGGGACTGCACGTATATTGTGATATGTGAAGAGCTTATCCAAGCATGCACAACACAATCGTTGCCTCTGCAATGGAGTCACCTGCAGACAGGTAACTGACACAAGGGAGACTGGGGAGGACCGTGTAACGTGTGAGTGAAGCGTGTGGAAGAAGGAAAGAGGACAAGTTTATCTGGGGTGGAGGAACTTGGTAAGGTTTCAGGGGCAAAATGATTTTTGGAAGCTGGGACTTCCAATTGTAGGAGTCGGTCCTCGAGAGAAGAGGGTGTGGTCCGAGAGAAGGGGCAGGGAATGGGCAAAGCAAATGGACCCCAGGAGGGCTTGCAGACATGAGACTGGGGGAAAACCGACAGGAAACCTAGAAAAGCAGACGGAGGTCGGGGACCCTTTCATCCCTAATAGTAACTTCTGGGTGTTTGTCTGACCTGGGATCGAGTCCCAGAGCAACCGCTTTCAAGGTTAGCCAAGTTTCCTAATTCCTTCCGGTGTCATCTTTAAAAACCAAAAAAACCCAGTAGCGACTATTTCAGAGTTTGTGTGGAGTAAGTAAAAAGAAGCAAACAAACAAAAAATGGCATGTAAAACGCTTAACACCATGGCTCTCACACAACACGCTTTTCACAGAATAGCTCAACACAGCAAAACTCCTAAGGCGTAGAATTGACTAACGGCCCAAACAGTTAATGATGTGTATTTATAAAAGTTGACGGACCTGAGCTTTATGGCTATTCTCTAGTTGCTTTCTAAAGACAACGCATCCTTATAATTCACAGATCCCATGTTCGTGAATTCACCTACTTGTTAAAGTGGCTTTGTAATCCCCAGATCAATACCCCTGGTGCTTTTGCTGTCCTTGGCCGACACACAGAGAGCAGCCCAAAAAAAAAAGAGAGAGAGAGAGAGAGTCTCCTGATACACACATGTCCGGCTGAGGCTGAAGAGGGTAACTTCTACCTTCTTGTTTCAGCTCTTAGATTATAAACAAGTCTCCTTTTCAGGGGCTCCTGAGCGCCATGTTTTTCTCAGTGGGGTGCCTTCTGTTTATGATTTTGCTGTGTAAGACTGCCCCGCGCATCGTGGTGAAGAGCTGTCTGTTGTTTCTAAGCACAAGAAGGCTGCCATGTGCCCAGTGGAGAAAATCCACACGTTGCATAAGCTTGGTTCGGGCTGGAGTGGTTATCTGGCACTGTTGGCCGTGAAAGCAACATGGATGAATCACTAATGTCTATTCAATACGCTGTCTTTAAACAAAAACACACGTCAAACAAGGTTAGGTATTGGGGCGTTCCCTGGCGGTCCAGTGGTTAGGACTCAGCACTTTCACTGCCGTGGCCTGGGTTCAATCCCTGGTCGGGGAACTGAGATCCCACAACCCCACAGACAAAATTAAAAAAAAAAAAAAAAAAAAGTTAGGTATCGATCATTGATGAAAATGTAATCAGAGGCTGTAGGAACCTAATCTTGCATTCCCCTTAAGGACACCGGTGGTAGCTTTATAGGACTTAACTACTGCAAATAACAAGAATTGACTGAAATCCCAGTTTTTCTTTCTCCTGAACGGTGACCTCCAACATGGGACGTGTGGAGTCTGCACACCCTTGCAATTCCGGTGCCCAAGCTGGGCTCGTTGTAGGCACTTGTTAAATATTGGGTGACACGGTCAAATTAATGGTCTCCATGCAGTCTTACAAGAAGCATTTAATAGCATGCAAAAGGCGTCGCATTTGTTGAAGAAGCGGGATGCGGAGAAACAAAATGCATGGAATTTCTGTACTAAATCATGGCTGAATATCACGTGAAATAGCTACGACAGGAAAAGAATGGTCCTTTGTGCACCGACATCATGACAAACGATGCTTGAGGGAAGCAGTCACGTTATTCCTATTGACTTTCACCAAACGTCTGTTTCAGACAGAAGAATGCATGACATCATCACAACCTAAAGAATGCAGTCACCTCCCGTGTTAGTTTCCTGCTGCTGTAGTAACAAATGACCACAAACAGGGTGATGTAAGACAGCAGGAATTTATCCACTCACAGCTCTGGGGGCCAGACGTCTTCAATCAAGCTGTGGGTAGGAATGCATTGGCCCCTGGGGACCCCAGAAGTAGAATCTCTTCTTTGCCTCCTACAGCTTCTGAGACCTGCTGGCATGTTTTTTGACTTGTGACCGTGTCACTCCACCATCTGCCTTCACGGCCACATGGCCTTGTCCCGTCTGTCTTGTCCTCTGTGCCTGTCATATAAAGACGTTTGTCATTGAATTTAGAGCCACCTGGACAATCCACAATGATTTGTTTGTCTAAAGAGCTTTAGCTGAATTACACCTGCAAAGACTGTTTTGTCCTAAAGTCCCATTCACCAGTTCCGGGGATTAGGAGAGAAACATCCTTTTAGGGACCGTCATTCAACCCACTACACCCCCTATGCAGAGAAACACAAAATTATAGGAAAGGAGCACATAACATGTATTGGGTTTTTTTAATTGAGATACGTTGACACAAAACATTATGCAGATGACATTTCTCGTTTTAAAGCTGAGATACAATTGACATAAAACATTGTATGAGTTGCTGGTGTCAACAGGATGATTTGAAATTTGTACGTGCAGTTGATGTTTATGATTCAACCCAAGAGTAGAGAGAACAGCCACACAAATGTCCAGAGAAGTACAAGAAAATAAACCCAAGCCCTTCCAGCAGGCAACATGGGAGGATCCCATTGCAGTGCCGTACCAAATTCCTACCCTCGTGTGTTCCCAGAATCTAGTTACAACGGCATTCATTCCACAAAAACTCATTCAACGGCAGTGTGTTAGAGCGAAAAGGAACGGGGTGGAATGTAAAAATCTGCATTCAGTGGAAACTGTACCAGAAACACATGCGGACCAGTTCTTATCATCGGCGTTTCAGAATCGTGGCAGACAGACGGCGTGCATAAATCCCGTCCTTTTTCTCGAAGACAATAAATGTAGAAGCCCAGCTAACACACAGTGAAGACGACAAGCCAGAAGGGTCTGGAAAGGATAAAGGTAAAATCTGGACTTGTCCTCAGGGGTGGGAACTATCGATATATTTAGAGAGAGTGCCTGGTGATCACTTTCACATGTTTGGTTTCTGGCAAGGAACATGTTTACACATTGGGTTGACGTGTGTGAACGCTGAACGCCCTGTTTGGAACTGTCTGCAATGCCTTGAAGGGTTTGGGTTATGTGATGCCAAGTGCATTCATTCGTTGTTGGTTTGACTCATTTTATAGGAGCTCCTGGAGTATGTCAGATACACCAGCGTCATGCTGGACAGCTCAGACAGACATGGATAAACACCACGAAAGAGTTCCATGCCCAGATCAACTAAGTCTTAACTCTGCACTCCATCCAAGGTACATGGACTCCTTGACCTTCTGTCCCCCAGGGGATGGAGGAGGGTAGAATCATTTTTTTTATTTTAATTTTTTACTATTTTTTAAAAGCTTTTATTGGAGTAGAATTGGCTTACAATGTTGTGTTAGTTTCAGGTGTACAGCAAAGTGGGTCAGTTATACATACACACAGATCCACTCTTTCTTAGATTCTTTTCCCATAGAGGTCATTACAGAGCATTGAATAGAGTTCCCTGTGCTCTACGGTAGGTCCTTATTAGTTATCTATTTTATATATAGTAGTGTGTATGTGTCAGTCCCAATCTCCCAATTGATCCCTCCACACCCCTTCCCCCGGTAATAATAAGTTTGTTTTCTACATCTGTAGCTCTATTTCTGTTTTGTAGATAAGTTCATTTGTGTCATATTTTAGATTCCACATACAAGTGATAGCATGTGGTATTTGTCTTTCTCTGTCTGACTTACTTCACTCAGTATGATCATCTCTAGGTCCATCCATGTTGCTACAAATGGCATTGTTTCATTCTTCTTTATGGCCGAGTAATATTCCACTGTATATATGCACCACATCTTCTTTATCCATTCATCTGTCGATGGACACTTAGGTTGCTTCCATGACCTGGCTATTGTAAATGGTGCTGCAGTGAACATAGGGGTGCATGACTCTTTTTGAATTATGGTTTTCTCAGGGTATATGTCCAGGAGTGGAATTGCTGGGTCGTATGGTAGTTCTAGTTTTCGTTTTTTTAAGGAACCTCATACTGTTCTCCATACTGGCTGCACCAACTTATAGAGGGTAGAATCATTCCTAAGCACAGAATTGGACAACCACCCAGAGACCACGCACGGAGAAACACAAGGGCCCGCAGAACGTGCCACGGCCCTACGCAGCCCCACCGCAGGCAGAGGTGTTGCTGGAGGAGCACGTGGTAACGCTCCTGTGTTTTCTGGGGGAAATTCCTCTCCTGAACAGCATCCAGATTGGCAAAAACGTCTCCCTCTTCCGCCACCTTAGGAAGAGCTAGGACTCCTTATAAGAACTGGGCAATTATTTGGGCCTTCCCAGCTCTGAAATTTAGATCTATGGTCCTTCAGTTGAATTACTTTATACTCTGGGCAAATATCTAGTGCTACCAAGGTGCACATCTTTATAAAAAAACTCTTAGACACCCATTTCCTGCTCTAACCTTGCAGTGACCGTAAGTGGATGATTTTGGCAAGTGGGGAACGTCATCTAGATTTAAGACAAGCTGACATGTCATCGTTGCTTGTGCTGCTGTTATTATTGTTTGGTTTCAGTACAAGGGCATTGGTGAACAAACCGTGCTGGTGGTGATACAATCGACTCTGACAACGTGTGACCTACTCCTCGGTGAATTAGCGGAAGTGTAGACGCCCTAGTGTGAGAAAAAGGAAAGAAAGCAGGAACGATAAGACTTCACGTCATTTAAACACATCCTTGGGAGAAGATCAAAGGAGAGAGTTCAGTAAGAGCTAAGTTCCTTAGAACGGGTGGAGCTTTGAATGGGAAGATGCCCTCGTATCCCCAAAGCTCGCAACCTGTCAAAGCACCGGGCAGCCTGTATGCACCTCCCTTAGTGAGCAACCAGAGTACAGTGGGTTGAATGGTGGCCACAGAGAGACATATGAACACCCTGACACCAGGGACCTGGGAACGGGACCTTTTTAGGAACCAGAGTCTCTGCAGAGGTGATGAAGGGAAGGGTCTGAGATGAGGTCCTCCTGGGGGAAGGTGGCCCTACATCCAGTGACAAGGTCCTTCTAAGACACAGAAGAGGAGAGACACAGACACAGAGGAGAAGCTCCGGGAAGACGGAGGCAGAGATTTAGAATCCCTCTGTGGCCGCAAGTCAAGGAGTGCCTGGAGCCCGAGACAAAAAAAAAAAAGCGAAAAGCCTAAAATTACTAAGAAACATAAATACAGTCATATGTCTAAAGACACTTATTTCCAGTTCTTGAAGCATACTTGTGGGACCTCACCAAACACACTGCTTGCTCTTACCCTGGAGAGAGAGTTCCTTATCACTGCATCAGTAGGAATGCAGGCTGCTGAAACCCCACCGAGGCAGAGAGGCACACATATTGTGCTAATTTAAGACGTTTCTGGCTCCCCTACATTTCATAGGAAAAAAGAAGGCACAGGACCAAGAACGATTTTTGCCCGACTTCACTGATTTTTATCTGGGACAGAGGGTGGAGGATTAACCTCCCCAGTGAGGACCCCATTAACATCGGTTTGTCTTTGGAACCAGATTTTCGTGATGTGTCCCAGGGCCTTGCTCTTTCCTTTCTGGAGAAGTTTGCAATTCGCTTTCCCCTGAGATTCCGGGGAGGGAGAAACCGCGGTTCCCACCCGGTTCTCTCACATGGCTTGAGCAGAACGATAAAATCCCACAGCCCAGGGTCTCAGAGCGCTGGTAGAATGCCACGGACGGGAAAGACGGTTAAAGGGGGATCCCCCCAAGGGCAGCCACGTGGTATAAAAGATTCTAGTGCTCTTGGTGCCGAATCCTTTTCACCATCCGTTATGGGTCGTGGAACAAAATATTTCAAAGCAAAGAACTTGAGTTGTTGCTTTTTTAATGGGTTCCGGAACTCGGCGGGAAGAGGTGAAAGGATTCCATGGTCCACTTCCGATCATGTTTCATTCTTTCGAGGCACGTGCAAGAGTCTGACTCCACGCAGCCTTCAGGGATTGACGTGCAAACAAAACCTAGACAGGAGTTTTCTGGCCACGTCCATGAGCAACCAGCCGAGCCTCAACTAACGGCAAGTTTCCTGACCATCAAAGGCAATGTTTTCGAGTAGCGCACGCGCAGTTTTCAACCTGGACCCGTAGACCAGACAGGACAGGGGACCACATCCTCACCAGGTCAGGTCTCTTCTCTATATCAGCTGCAGCCTCCACAGCAGAGAAATGACCCAAAGCCCTCATCTCACCCAATAACCCCCTGTCCCTAGAGAGAGGCATCCCCGATCTGAGGAGACATTTCACGTCCTGCAAACCAGCCCCAGTTCCTCACGTCAGTTCCATCTCTGCTTGGTCTCGAATCCACCATGCTGGCCTCTGCATCTCCCCTCTTTAGTCCCAGTTTGAAGAATCTCCAGCCTTCTCATATTATTGAAATTTTAAAACCCAACCGTAGAGGCTTAGTTGGTGCAAGCTCTTCCTTGAAATGTCTGGTAATCCCCCCAAATCGGGATGAACTTCTCTGTCCTCCTGACTCCCACGGTGAATGTTTATAACCTCTCTTCCTGCACTTGTGTTCTTTGATTACTTGCCGGTTGCAGAAATGCCTCTTTTTCCAGCTAGATTCTAAGACACTGAAGAATAAGGGTCCTTTCTTCTCTTCAGGACCTCCGCTGTCACCATCGTATTCTTACTTTGAATCTGTGCCGTTGTCACACACACGTATTCTGGCGTTCGCTGGCTTTTCTCTGGGGGTAGGACAATGACATTCGATCAGAAACATTAGCAACTGGATTGGAAAGGTCATTGTTCGGAGGTGTGAACCCAAAATAAACATGACTTCGCTTCCCTGGGGGGCAACGTGAAACAACACAATCGCTAAATTGAGCGCGAAGCAGAGAGGAAAAAATGCTGTCATTCCCATTGAATCAGACACTCACGCCCCGCTTCCAGGGGTCATTTTATCCCTGGCGGGATGCTGGCCCCATGGTACCTCCGAGCAGGGAGCTGACACGTGGCCACACTCACAGAGATGTCACAGACACACGTCCTCTTTCTTCCCTCCAATCGTTGAAAGTATATGAAGGTCAGAACGCATATCGTAAAGGCAGCTTTAACACAAGCCAACGGAGCCATATCGGCCTTGGGAAAAACCTAAACCATGAAAATGGGTGGGTTTATGATGAGCGACACACCAGATCCCTCCCTGAATTAAACGTTCTTTCACTTCACACATAGTTTAGTATCCGTTATGGACTAGACGGTGAAACTCAGGCAGGGAACAGGGTCCCACCCTAGACTTCTATTTCCCAGATGAAGACCCTGTAGATAATTTACTACGTATTATAAAATGATGCTCAAAACCAAAGGCAAACTGGGATCTACTGCCTTACCCCTAAATTCACCGTCGATATTGTGTGTGTGTCACGCATTAGCGTCTATAAATATGAGTATACACACTTATATATTATTTATTTATATTACATCTATGTATGTAAATATATTTAATAGGTGCATCTTATTTTATATATGTACATGTATATAAATATATTTATATATGTTGCATATATACTTCTACCTATAGATAACGTACATATATGTATACATATAAATTTGTTACTGTTTCTATTCATTCCAATTTATACAGGAATTTGTCTTTCCAACTAAACCTCTGAAATTTTGCCCAAGAAAGATTTGCAGCTACAAATAATAAAAAGTGGGTTCAAATTAGGTTTAAGGCTCTAGGGGATGTAGTCATGGCATCCACCGCTTTTAATGAAATGGAATAATGTTTTTATAAAAGCTACCCTTAAGAAATGAAGGTTGACACAACCTTGTAATTAATAACTGCATCTCAATTTCTTACGGCTGGCGGATTTTCTCTGGTTATCTCTGAAATGACTCTTAGTCTACACCTGCCACATGTTCTTTCCAGCAGCCATGGGGGTGGAGAAAACATGGGCTGGATTTAGAGCCTAGCCTTCCATCTGGAAACAAGCCAGCTGACCTCTCTTTCTAGATGTGGGAGGAGCCATTATGTTGTCAGGGGACTTCTCCGTTCCTAACATTTTGGTGTGTGGACATGACCTCTGGGATTTATCTTACCCTCGCATGGCAGGATTCAATAGAAGGGGTATTTGTATCGCCTCTGCTCCAAGAGGGCTCACTTCCTGAGACCTCAAGACGATGTCTTATAAGGTTATTTCAGCCGGCAGGCAAGCCCACCACCTACAGCCAAGAGATGTTATCCCAGAGCATCCCCGTGGAGCTAGGATCAGGTTTCTCTCCAGGTATGAGAAAAAGGGATCTGACAGCCAAGCGACCAAAGACATCACTTCTCAAGGTCATCTTCATGACATGGTCATCGGAAAAGAGGCATCTCATGAATGTTTCCTTCGTGGTCCTATTGGTCTTCTAGCTCTAACTAAGCCTCACTCCATGCCCTGCCCTGTGACGAACGTTAAGCAGCTTGGGATTCCAGTCCGAGGAAAGTGCGGGGTGCAGGCTCCCCTCCGCTACTCACCCTGTTAATCATACATCCAACACGTGCCCCTTTTGCCCCTTTTCTAATTAGTCAAGGAAGCACGACTTTCCTTTCCTCCAAAAACCATCGGAAAATTCAGCGAAGGAATCAGTACACAGCATGAGTCGCACGAGACCTCTTTGTGTATGCCACACCTCGCTGAAAGTCTGGGGAATGACGGAGAGACCAATCGCAAACCTGCACGTATAGTTAAAACTTGAATATGAAAGTGTCCTTTCCGATCCTTTCAGCTTCCCTGTGAGTGGCAATTCGTCCTGGGTGCCCTCACCCCAGGACGGTCCCCTGGCATCCGATGCCTAGCTATTCCCTCTCGCTCTCTCTCTCTCTCTCTCTCCCCTGCCCTCCTTTCACGCAGATGCAAAACAAAAGCAGAGAATACCTCCAGGGACATCTCTCGGGATTCCTCCATCGGTGTTGCCCACGTGGTCCACGTCTTCTATTTTCTTAGCCGTGTCATCCCTCAAACAGGCTTTCTTGACCTCAACACAACTCACACTTTGGCCTGGATAATTCTTTACTCTGGACGGGGTGTTGGGGGGGTCCCCCGTGCATGGGAGGGCTTTGAGAGGCATCCTTGCCCCCCCACACCTATGAAACGCCAGCTGGTCAATGATGACAGTTGTAATGCTTCTAAACTGTCCCCAGATGTTGCCAAATGTCCCCAGGAAGGAAAATTTGCCCCTGGGCTGTGAATCGCCACCATAGATAAATAGATAAACAGATAGCAGAAGAGTCTCCCGTGCTAAAGCAGGGTTTCGCAGCCTCAGTAAGGGTGACATTTAGGGCCAGATGATGCCGGGGTGAGGCGTCCGGTGCCCTGTGGGCTGTGGAGCGCATCCCTGGTCTCCACCCACCACGTGCCAGGAGCACCCCTCCCCCCAGCATGACAGCCATAAATGTCCGCCGACATCGTCACGTGTCCCAGGGAGGTGGAAGTACAGCTCCTGCTTGGGGACGAGTGCTCAAAACCCCACAGAACTCCTTACCAGCCATAGGCAGCATCTCTGTCCTGTTTCTCAAAACTGCACCCTGAATTTTTTCCACTCTGTGGGTTGAACTGACCTTGTAAATGTCCTCACGGGTCTTGTGTACATTTGCCAAATTAAAGATGATACAGGGTGAGCGCTCACCCTTCCTAAAAGTTTCCTACGTTCCTTATTTTGATTTCGTGTGACAACAAACACGTCTAAACCAGGCTTGCGTTCGAATGTGTGTCGCTGAGGGGATGAAGAATGTTTTGCTCTCCACGTTTGACGAAGCCACAAGCATGACACAGCTGTGCAGCCTGATCAAAGCTCCTTAGAATTTTCAAGCTAATTATATAGATCTCCTCTTTGCATACCGGAAGACCGGGCTTTCAGGAGAGCTAAACAACCCGCATCCAGATGTTACACTCAACCCTGAAATTGAACTAATTTCTGCCAGGATGAAAGAAATCCACTGAATCTGCCTCAGTCCCACAGTTAAACTTAACCATGGGGCGATAGCTCTACGAGACCCCTGGGCATGGGTACTGACCAGCACGGGGAGTGGAGAATTGGCAATGATCCATTTAACCCACTGTGAATCACCAAACTGAATAATTCAGAGCCCAAAATAGATTCACGCTACACTGTAACCGCTTGGGTTTATCCTTCTCAAATGCCCATGTGTATGGGCTCCACTGTAAGGATTTGAATCCAAGTTTTTATAGTGTTGTGAATATGTTTCCCAAACAAAGACCGACAAGATGGATGCTTTGAAAATTCAGGGGCTATGGGAGAGAAACACCCCGTCCCCATTTTATTTCTGTACAAGTTCAGCTTGAATGAAGAGACATTCATCAAGGAAGCCCCCAACAGGGGGAGAAATCCTATTCTTCCATTGGGTTACTGTTGGGTGCTTCTTGGGCCAATAAAAGTAACTGATCCTCAGAAAACTGGCATGTCATGTCTTTAAAAGCCCATGATCCCAGCAGGTCGTTATTCCGTAAAATAAAATCGTTTTCTCCCCAAAATCATGTGGCCAACGTTTTTGCTATGCTTTTTTTAATGCAAGAAAAAATATACACTCAGTAGATTCATAGATACATAGATATCGATGATACACTATATTTAGATGGATGGTTAAATGGATGGATGGATGTACAGATAGATGCTAGATAGACAGATACATAGGTGGGGATAGAGAGATATGATTGGGTGTCTCAAAGTGCAAACAATTACATCTCTCTTTATTCTCTGTGTTGGAAACTACATTGGATTTCAAAGTGGGTTTTTTCAATTAGAAAAAGAATCCAGCTTCTATGCTACATGCCATGTAGTAATTAAGTCTGTTAGCTTGAAGAGTTGGAAGTCAGTAGGTTGAATCTGCTTTTATGGACAGGACATCTCAGAAGGTTTAAGAATTCAGCTCCGTGTGAGACAGCCATCCAAGCGTGAGCTACGGCGCTGAACGCAGCCACGGGTCGTCGAAAAACTCAGCGCGCTCTTCTATTTGGGGGAAATGTCTCTACGTGGCCCCGAAAATAAACACTTTTCTCCAAGGAAGCATTGCTTGTGCACTTACAGACACAAAATGTGTTTGATTTAGCCAGACAGAAACGAAATAGCTCTCATGGTCTGAGGGAGGATGTGAAACAAGGAGGCCGTGCAAACGGTCACAAGACTGGTTTCCTCTGGGTTATATTTAGTCTGCAACGTGTAATTAAAGTACCATTGCGCCTGCATATTTTCCATCTTAATAAGTTCCCCAGGAGCCTAATATACGCCCAGCGACGGGGAGAAGCCACAGACCATCGTGCCTGCGGTCGCCAGGTTAATCTCATGAAACCTCTGATCACCTTAATGCAAGCGTAAGCCCTTAATCACCACCTGCAACCAACAGAAACACAACCACTGAACACAACCATTACCTCAAACTGTCCACCGGAGGGTCTAACTCATATTCTTTGAATCATCCTCAGTTTAGTGACCCTGCAAGGGTCCACCACCAGTGGCCACCTAGACCAGCCCTGAAAACTCAAAACAGCCAGGCTGAGCAAACCCAGCCTCTCCTTCTATGCAAGGATGAGCCAGATGCGTTTCATTCTGTTCCCTGAGGACTTTTCCTTTCTGCTAATGCTTCTGTGAATGGAAGTGACCTCCTATGATTAGCTCACCTCGGCACAGCGGAATTCAGTATCGGGGTATTTTTACTGGCTCCTAGTCAAGAGGTTTTTATTTATCAAAACGTCAGAACAGTTTTCCTAGAAGGTTATTTCAGCTGCAAGGCAGGTCTGCAATGGACCGTCATGCTATTGCCTCTATATCACAGGTCCCACAGCTGGGAAGGTGCGTGTGGTGAGAACATTGCGTGAAGAATCAAGGAGCATCACTGAAGGTCAGAGGGAAGCCAGAGAATGCAAGGAGCGTTGGTGGAGGGGAGGGACCTACCTCATCAGGAATGCCAGGGCCCAGGTGTCAGCCCGACCACGTGGCAGAACACGATTGTCATTCAATGTCCCACGTCCTCATTGGAAAACTCAAGCTGGGCTGTTACAAGGAGACAATATCAGAGACACAAAAACTGACCACTGAAACAACAATGCATTCCGCCCAAAGACAGCTCACCAACCCACAAGCCCAGGCAGGGAGAGACGTTTGGGCTGGGAGGTGGACACCTCATGTCAGGATTGAAGACACACGGTGAGGAAGATGGCTTCCGTCCTCTCTCATGGCTGGACAAGTAGGGGCCATCCGCCTTGTCTCAGCCCTCAGTGACCTTGACTCCTGTAGGACATTATCCTTTCCCATCAGCCCCCTCTACCTGTCCAGACCTACACTGATCTGGGCGTTCACAAGAAGCTCCAAATTCCCCGTGAACTTGACCGTGGTCTTTGTAGTAGCATGTACCCTCACGCTTCTCCAGACTCCTAGAATACTAACAGTCAAGACCATAAATGCCCCTCTCCTTCCTTCCTGGAACGTTCAAGATGTTTCATCTTTCTTACGTCTTGAGTACACCGCCACCGGCACCCAGTTAGAGCCTGGGGTTTTGTAATGCAAGACACAGAAATGCAGCCACAGACCAGAGGATACGACTCTGAAAATGAAAAGGGCTCTGACGACCACCAGGTTCGATTCATTTTTTTTCCACATGAGCTTTCATCACTGCCCTTTCATCGCAATGCATGGTTGGAGGGGAGCAGGGAGGAATTCTCCAATGACTGCGGCACCCGCGTTCTCACCCCTACAACCACCCCTACAACCACTGAAATCCAACTTACGACGCTATATGCCTGGTATTTCTTGAGGACTCTTCTGGGGGAAGCGTATGTAACGGGTGTGTTAAACAATCATGACTCATTGGGTGTGAACATAAAGCAAATTTCATTTTGTCTCCTACCATCCCTTTCGAATTCAGGAGGGGGGAGGGATTCTTCGTACACCTCTGGAGGAAATCATAGGAGGTCTGAGAGCTTTCTTTTGCTGGCTCTCCGTCCGCCCTCTCTCTCTCTCTCTGTCTCTGTCTCTCTCTTCCTGCACCTGCAACAGGTGTGCACTCCCATCCCTTTCCTCCTGCAGGGGGGCATCACCGAGGCAGAGGCAGTTGTGAAGGGAAGGATTTCACAGAATTGCCCAGCTGCCCCAGTTCCACCTGGGAGAATCAGCTCACTGCGGGGAGAAGGGGAGCCTGCTAGGTCCGTGCGCCGAGCCCCCTTTCCAGTCCAGCTGGAAAGGCGGTCAGCAGAAGCCTTTATTTCTCTCTGACACCCGTGTGCACTTGGCAGTGGGCTTGCAATCCAGTGGGGAGGGGTGTGCATTAGTTGGCTTCTCAAAAGACACAGGTGAGGGTCTCACAGACACCCGCAAAGTCACCGCAGGGGAGCAACAGACTCTGTACCGTGTTGAAATATCAGGGTTTCTCTCGTGGTCAGGCAGAGGCCGCATAGACTTGTGCCCACGTGAGCCTGTGACCTTGCAGTTTGCAACAGCTCACACCGTGACTGGGAGTGTTCGGGGAGATTCCTCCAAGCTCACGATTGGTGTCAGAAGTGAGGACGGTCACATGGAAGGTCCCCTCCTCTGAGGGTCCACCTGTTTCCTTGTTTCTTTGGCCTCAGGCATCTCTCTGCCTCACCAGGATTTGAGTGGGTACGTAGGTTCAGTTCTGCGGGGAAACAAGGAAAGTCCATCGTGGGTCGTATCCCAGTTTTTTCTCCTAAACTAAGTCTGACCTTAATGAAATAGCTGTTTGCGTCATGACCGCTGCCCCATAGATGTCTCCACTGGCCAAGCCCAGATTTCCCATCTAGGTTACTCTGGAAGCTAACACGCTGCCGGGTTTGGGAAAGAGAGAGTAACATAAATGTTACTCTTTGTTCGTAACAGGGGTAAAAAACAAACACAGCCACGTGCCCTGCGGGGTCCAAAGACTAGGCTCTGCTAAAAGAAATCCTGCCCAGAATTTGACCCAGACAGAGTCTGTAGACTTGTTACCGACTCTTTGAATCGTGAGTAAAAATAACTAAAATGTGGTCTAGACACAGAATGGGGTATCATACAACCATAAAGAGAAAGGAAGCACTTTACAACCCAGATGAACCTCAAAAACGCGCTCAGTAAAAGAAGCCGGTTCAGAAAGGTTATCATCCCATTGATTTGAAATATCCGGAAGAAATCCATAGAGACAGAAAAAGCAGATTCATGGTTGCCAGGGGCTGGGGTGGGTGCGGGATAGAGGGATAAAGCGGTGATAGCGAGAGACTGGGGTTTCTAGTTGGGGTGATGAAAATGTTCTCAAATGAATTGCAGGGGATGGTTATGTTACAGTGCAGAGCACACGTGACTCCGTATCAGCTCTGTTCCTTTAGCTCTAACCTCTGTGCTCTGTTGCCTCTGCCTAGTAATGCTGGCTCTGCACCTCTGGTAAGAGAATGTTGCCTTTAGCTGGAAATATACATAATTGCTCATTTTCAAGGCTCCGCCTCCCAGGCTTGACATTTAAAGGTATTAACACTCTTCATTCCTATAGAGATAAAAAGTTGCAGAACAGAGAATAAGTCTGTCTTGTTGGAGGCTTTTAGGAGCATCCTGACCTGACCCAGGTGGACAGCTGCAAGAACAAAGGATTCCCGCACCAAGAGGTTTGCAACAGCCAGCCGCACCCTCTCCCATTTTAGTATAAAAGAAGCCTGAGGGCTTCCCTGGTGCTGCAGTGGTTGAGAGTCCGCCTGCCCCAGCACCTTGTCTTTTGCTTTATCGGCCTGTCTTAGCTGCATGAACTTGGACTTGGTAGCAGTAGCACAAGGCTGTGAGAATACGAAAAACCATTGAATTGTGCAACGTTAAGTAGGTGGATTGTACGTTGTGTGAGTTATAGTTGTAAAAAGTTGTTAGAAAAAGAAAATACAATTAACTCTCCCTTACCATGTAGCCACACTGCTTATTGGAACCACCTGCCCCTGGACATCCCAGGCTGTGTGTCCCCTCTTGCACTCTCACACACTGACACACACACTGCAATTCTCTTCCACAAACCAAAATACTGCCTATGACAGCCAAATGCATGCTCATTTAGACGTCATTTCTATGCCACCTACTTCCACGTGGGATCAACGGATTTGAGATGGCTTATACTGAAATCACATCTTCGCATGCTTGTTAAACTAAAGACACAGCAATGCCACAGAGCAGGTGTGTGAGAGAGAGAGAGAGATGCAATTTTCCAGGCACCTGGAGGAACTCTCATTTCAATCTTTTAAACCTCTTAAACACACACACCTGAAAGCCTTGGTATTCCTCCCATATTCTTGGGGCTCTGCAGACCTTTTCCCTGCCATGCTAGAGCCCTCTCTTCTCCTTAAAGCTGACCTGTATATTTATAAACTAAAAAATGTGCATCGCTTTTTAAACCCTACCCAGAAACGGAATCTCATTCTCTACCCCAGCCCCGCAAAACTCTTCCCCAACAGGTAAGGCCAGCCTATGCAAGGAACAGAATTCAGGGTGATGATGGAAGGTGAGCCTTCCATGTTACAAACATTATAAATGATTTCAGAGTGGCGATACACCTTAAAAGTTATTTAGTGCCTATGTTCCCATTGCAGCAAAATAAATAAATAAAAGGGTGTCACTAGAAGTTAAGTTTCATAAAGACACAGAGCAGGAATTCCTGCCTGGATTTACCATGCTTTCCCAAAACTGCTGTGAGGTATTTCAGTGCCACACTTCAAACACTTCCTAACTTCGGTGGAGGAGACCCTTAAAATAAGCTTTAAAGAGACTGTAGAGATACAGAAAACAAACCAGTGGTGACCAGTGGGGAGAGGGAAGCGGGGAGGGGCAAGATGGGGTCGGGGATTAAGAGGTACAAACTACTATGTATAGAATAGATACAGCAACAAGGATATACTGTACAGCACAGGGAAATATACCCATTATTTTGTAATAACTTTGAGTGTAATCTATAAAGATATTGAGTCACTATGTTGTAGATACTGAAAGTAATATAATATTGTAAATCTACTGTACTTCAATAAAAAGAATAAAAAGAATGTCTAAGCAAATTCCATTTTCTTTTATGGAAGTGGTAGATCTCAGTACTGCTCATCACAGGTAACCCTTTGTGTATATGGGAGATAACTGTGTTAATCGCAGATGTACAACGAGACATATTTGCCCTAATTTTGGCGATAGAAGGTAAAGTCATGGTCTAATGAATTTTCTACTGCTGTATAACAAATTATGACAGACTCAATGGCTTAGAACAATGTCCGCTTACTATTCTTACTTATTTATCTTTTTTTAATGTTTTTAAAAAGATTTTTTATTGAAGTAGAGTTGATTTACAATGCTGTGTCAGTCTCTGCTGTACGGCAAAGTGACTCAGTTATGCACATAGAGACATTCTTTCTTTCATATTCTTTTCCATGATGGTTTGTCACAGGATATTGAATAGAGTTCCCTGTGCTCTACAGGAGGACCTCGTTGTTTATCCATCCTGTATATACTAGTTTGCATCTGCTCATCCCAAACTCCCATTTATCATTCTCTGTGGGTCAAAAGCCCCAAAGACTGGGTTTGGCTAAGTTGTGTCTTGGTACCTCACAAGGTCAAAATCAAGGTGTTGGCCAGGTAGGTAGGGTCTTTATCTGAAGGTCCTTGGCAAGAACCTGCTTCCTACTCATTCCTGTTCCCTACTTGTTGGCAGAATTCATTTCCTTGCTGTTGTAGGGCTGAGGTTTCCGTTGATCTCCTGGCTGTCAGCCGGGGTCTGCTCTCAGCTTCTAGAAGCCACCCTCATGTCTCGCCATGCAGCCCCGCCATCTTCAAGTCCACAAGGGTGGACAGATTCCTTCTCACCCTTGGAATCTCCCCCGTCTACAATCAGCAGAGAAAAACACTCCACTTTCAAAGGACTCGTGTGACAAGACTTGGCCAATCTGTATCATTTCCCTTTAGATTACCTCTAAGCAAAGTTATTACAACCTTCATTCCATCTGCACAGACTTGTGCCATGTAGTATCATCATGGGAACAGAGATCACGGTGGTCTTAAATTTCCACCTCTCACACCTACTGTAGGAAGGCTTAGTGGGGACGGGTGACATCTCTCTGAAACACTGAGGCCACCCTGAGAGCAGCCAAGGGTAATTGGATTTAAATGACTTGAACTTGGGGCGGGGGGGGGGGGGGGGGTTTCCAGGACCTCCAAGTCATGGTGGAGGCCAAGTCAAACGATGGATGGATGCCAAACCAGGGAGCATGATGAGGTAGCTTCTCCCGGGCTGTCCCTGGGATTTATATGGTGGCGATGAACAAGGACCAGTGCTTTGCCATCTGCAGTATCTCCTCCTTGCCCTACTCTAGGCTTCTGACCTCAGTCATTAGTCGCCACCCACTGTTCCGAAGATGTCCTGGGGCTGGTGGGACTCTGCAGGCTTTCCTCCCTAGGGTTCAATCACAACTCCATCATTAGCCTGCATTAGAACTGTAAGATTTTTCATCTCAATTTACGACGGAAACTTAACTAAGTCTGAGCTGCAGAGAAAGGAGTAACAAGAATTCCTTCCACAAGTCTTTGGTGCTTTCAATTAAAAGTGATTTTATACAGACAGAAAAAAAATCTATGGGCTGCTCAAAGTTGGAGAGAAACAGAAAGTGAGTCTATATTTAAGAATTTCTTGCCTTTGGAACATTAGGTGTGGGGAGAAACCCCAACTCAAGTTCTTTCCAATTAAAAGAGCTTTGAAGAGCTGATCTTATCTCTGGCCTTATCTCACTCCCCAGGGCAGCGGGGAGGCTGCTGAGAGCCAAGTGTGAGCCCCTCCCCCATCCCAGCATCTAAAGGGGAAGGGGGGTCTCCTCTAAAAGCCATGGGCTTGAAGCAGAACACGGCTGTTTTGGGTAGCAACGCATGTGTTTTCTGGCAGCATGGGTTCTAACTAATGGTGGAAAAAAAAGCCCAAAAGAAAACAAGAGGATAGCAGGGTTATCTTTCTTTTTTAAAAAATTAATTTCTTTAAAAAAAAATTAATTTCTTTTTAATTAAATATAGTTGATTTACAGTATTGTGTTAGTTTCAGGTGTACAGCAAATTGATTCAGTTATATATATCTGTATCTGTATATAGAAATATCTATATAGAGAAATAATTTTTTTCAGATTCTTTTCCCTTATAGGTTATTACAAAATATTGAGTATAGTTCCCTGTGCTATCCAGTAGGTCCTAATTGGTTATCTATTTTATATATACTAGTGTGTATCTGTTAATCCCAAATTCCTAATGTATTCCCCTGCTTCTCCTTCAGTAACCGTAAGTTTGTTTTCCATGTCTGTGAGTCCACTTCTGTTTTGTAAACAAGTTCATTTGTGTCCTATTTTAGATTCCACCTATAAGTGATATCATCTATTTGTCATTCTCTTGCTGACTTACTTCACTTAGTATGACCGTCTCTAGAGATTATCAAAGTCCTCTTTCTTAAGTTACTTAAAGGCTAGGTAGCAAAAGTCTAGGAAAATAGATGTCAGATGCTGCACGTACATAACCCCACTGAGAGAAGAATAAAGAAACAGAACACGACTCAGGCTTCAGGAATTTTGCAATTAGTCACCCAACCGTCTTTGAACGATATGGCTGGTTTTCTGGTGTGTGGAGCTGGAAACCTAGCTGGAGCTTTCACCAGCATGAAGGAGAGACGAGAGACCCAGGCCTCCTGGCGACAGATCCACAGGCGCTGCAGAGCTCGGCCTGAAGGATGATGCAAAGGTTTTTTTATCACACATGTTGATAGAGCCGCTTTCAAGTTCAGCTGAAGAGAGAGGCCAGAAACAGGCTTTTCGGCAAAGAAGCCAAAGCTCCTTTGGGGTACGTAGGTTCCATCCAAATGCTTGATGTCTTCTTCAGAATAAATAAACTCCAAAGGACCTTTTTCTAAAGCCAAAAAAAAAAAAAGCCCTGCTGAGAGGCAGCATTTCACAACCCTGGTCTGCAATTTAAAATACAAAGTAATGCTAGCCATTAAGAAAAAAAACAAACTGTGTATCGCC